ATACTGAGACAAAAAGAGAAGCACACAAGAAAAAAAAAAAGAAAGAAAGAAAGAGAAGCATCAGGTACCAACCTCCGACTAGAAAACCGGATCCAAGTCCCCACTTCCCCTCATCCTTCATTTGTGGCGGTCCATCTCCGCAATCTGGGGTCACAAATGACGGATACGGGTAATAAGTGGGACTTGGCCCCCGGTGTCCGTTGGCCTTTCCAGTCGGAGATACCGGAGAACCAGGGCCAAGTCCCACTAGGCCGGTAGTTGGACCTGTTGTGGAGATTCGCAGAAAAGTTGAGTTTCCTCGACGCCCGAATCTGGACCTGTTTGTAGAGGTGTGCAGAAAATTGCGTTTCCTCAACCGCGTATCTCCACAAACACCTCCAGATTCGGCCGTTGAGGAAACTCAACGCTTCTAGCGGGACTTGGCCCCCGGTCCCTGCGAGCTACCGTACAAATTGTTGTGATACAAGGCCCGCACAACAGTTTGTACGGTAGCTCGCGGGGACCGTTTGGACGGTCTGTGACTGTTGTTTCGATTTGTTTTTTTTTTTTCCTCTTTTTGTATTATTGTACTTTGTGTTCGTTGATCGGTGGAGTTTTTTTTTTTTTTTTTTTTTTTTTCGTTAGAATTTCTTCCAAACGGGCCCTGCCCCCAAGGCTCGAGGCTTAGAGCCTCGTTCCACACCACTTGAAAATACTTGAATTTCAAGTGCACACTAAGCGAGAAATTGTGATTAACTTACACTTACTCATTTATGGTTCCATGTGCACTTGAGGAAACGCTTGAACAGGCTCCACTTGAAACCGAACTCCACGGCTTGACCAATCCTAGACCAGGATCGCCTGCTGGAAAACAAGAAAAACGAAAAGAAGGCCCCACCCGAGTGCTGGCGGTATAGGCTGGCACTTGAACTCAAGGTACCTCTGGGAGGTGACTTGAATTCAAGGGTGATCTTGGCTGTGTCGCCCTTGAGTTTCAAGGGTGCACCCTTGGGACGCAAAAAAGTGAAAACAAAGCTGGTCGCTCAAAGGGGGGGGTGGAACGATGATTTTTTGCTTCGCTCTTGACAAGATGCACCCTAACCCGAAAATCATGATTAAAAAATTACTTACTGCAATCTTGGTTCCATGTGCACTTCACAAAATACTTGAAACTGCCGCACTTGAAACAGAACTCCACGGCTTGACCAATCCTGCCCCACTTGGAGTGCTGGCGGTATCTGTTGGCACTCGACCTCAAGGCTCACAAGAGAGGTACCTTGAGCTCAAGTGCGAATTTGCCCGGGCGGCACTTGAGTTTCGAGGGCTAGCACTAGATAGCAAGAAAGTAGAAACAACTCCGCGGCCAGGTTAGGGTGGGGTCGAACGAAGAATTTTTCTTCAACCCTTGAGTTCAAGTGGTGTCGAACGAGGCCCTTACATCAATCATGTAACAGTTCAACTCTAGGTAGCAGGGGCCACCAGCATAGAACACTAACCTCTTTTTTTTTTTTTGGGGGGGGGGGGGGGAGAGGGGGTAGAGGGGAGGGAGTAGAGAATCCATTATCAAAGTATAAGGGCCTGATCCTGCAATACTTACCGTAAGTAAAAAGGAGTGTTTGAAGGGATCCCACCAGTTTCCGCAGATTTAGGGAGCTCCGCCAGCAACGGGGCGTTGTGGAGGCGTTTGATGTCGTGTCGCTTGGGAAGCACACGGAGGTGAAAAAGATTGGGGCATTTTGGAAAAGACGTGGACACGCAGTCTCTCCCCAAAAAGAAGGCGCATTTTTTGTGGGAATTCTCTTTTTTTTTGGATGTCCGTGTGGAAGACACCACAGGCTGCACAATACCGCTCCGGCGACCACCTCTGCCGTGTGAATGTTGTCCGTTGGACAGGCCTTCTCGGTCCAGCCGGTGGTGCACGCCCCAAAAAAAGCGCTGCCACTCAACGTAAAAGTTCTGATGCATTCACGATCGTGGGGTCTCTATTTTCTTTTACGTCCCGTCTGCCCCTCCTTTTTTCGTTGCTTTTAGGGTTTTACTTACGGTAAGTACTCTGGGATTAGACCCTCAAACTCTGAGGCCGGGACTCCTCACAAACAACCCGGGACCAAGTCCCACTAGAAGCATAGAGTTTTCTCAACGCCCGTATCTGGACGTGTTGGTGGAGCTGTGCAGTTGAGGAAACTGAACGCGATTTTCTGCACCTCTCCATAAGCACGTCCAGATTTGGGTGCTGAGGAAACTCGACGATTCTAGTGGGTCTTGGCCCCCGGGGGTAACCAAGGCACCAAGGCACCCAGGCTGTACCCAGCTTCAGTCTGACACAGCGTAGTCTAACACAGCTTAGTCTAAGCTAGCTGTACGAACCCTAACCCTTTTGTTTTTGCCTTCTCCTCATCGCGGGACGGCTATGTATATTTTCTCTCACATCACATAACCTCAGGCCAAGCCTCGCCGCTGTAGTAAGCAAGAAAAAACGAACAAAACCTCCACCTGAGAACAAAATACTAGTGAAAATAGCTCACGGGATTTCCTGAATGGCATAGCTGAGTTGGTACACCCACAAACTGTTGGAATGCAGACCAGGTTCGAGTCCAGATACAATCAGATTGACCAGAATAAAATCATTCTGAATTACCTGGGGCTGGTCATTTCAAAGATGATATCTAAAGGCCGTTGCCCTTAAAAAAAAAACTTGCGGGATTTCCCGAAGGGACCCAAAGGGAGAACTAACGAACACGCACCCACCTCCACAGAGTTTCTTACAAACCCTTATTACCCTAAAAGAGTACCCTAAATTCCCTAGTTGTAAGTGATCCAGGGACACAAACCCTTACTACCCTAAAAGGCTAAAAGTCTCTTTTTTTTCTTTTCTTGAAATTGTGCTTTTATTTATTAACAGGGCCGAGTGCCTTATTTCCCTAAAAGTCTGCTCACGAAGAATACCATTGAATTCCTTCAATTCCACACACAAGATCCCAAACAGGAAACCCCCCAAAATCCTAACTATCTTCTTCTCCCAACCTCTCTCCAGTGCACCTTTCACTACCTACCCACCACTTCTCCCATGGTTCTACACGGGAACCCTGCAAGCATAGCTGCCTCAGAATGAAGGGATTGCATGTTGGCCCCTGCCCTAGCAGCGGTAGTCAGGGAGTAAGTTGCGGCCGCTGGTGGGGGCCCAGTCAACACAAAGACCAAGCTTTTTTTTTTTTTTTTTTTTTTTAATTTTAACGATGGACCACAGATCAGATATTAAACTGATCAGAACAGATACTACACTTGATCTTAGGCAAAAGGCGGAGAAAGGTATTAGAGACCAAGCATTTTGGCAGTAGCTGCGCCTCCTTTTTTATCGTTCCCCCCACCCCCATCGAGTGACAGCAGTGTCTAAGGCCAACGCTCTTTTGAGGGTTTCTGCACACTTTTTTTCTTTCTTTCCTGTCACTATTTTTGGGTTTCGTGTTTTCGTGCTCCTCATGGCCTTTGGCCAAATGGCACACCTTGAAGCTATCAGCGCGGAACATTGGGACAATCATACATTGGACGGCTTTGCAATTAGACGGGTGAGCTGAGGTTGGATGCCGAGTGATCTGGCGTGGCTGCTTGTTCAATGGCGAAGCCGCCCAAAATCTGATGTGAATGTATCATCCTTTTGGAATCCTCCCGCATCCAACCATTGCCATCGAGGAGTTAAGAAATGTCCAGTTTACCAAGGGAAGAAGCTTACGTCGTACTGACTGCAATTACGGCCGGACCTGGATGAATCTGACCGCAATCAGGTCTGGAGATTAGTAGGGAGACGGTTAACGGGGGCCCAAATATTCGCCGTTTTCGTTGGCAATTTCGGTGCGAATTCCATCAAAATATTTTAAAACAAACGATATGAGACCATAGTGCAAACATCAAAAAAGGAAACAGGCCAAAAAAAACGAAAAAAAAAACAAAAAAACACTATGAAACCCTAACATAAAGACACTGTCCAACCATTGCCACAGAAGGAGGTAAGACATGACAGTGAAATGAGCAGACCGAACCCTGCCCGCCCCCCCCCCCCTCCAGGGGGGAGCGTTCTCCATCCACCAAATACCACCGCCGGCCCGTCTGGCCTTGGAAAATATACATGCAGATGTGCACCACCATGTGTCTAAGGCTGTAGTTCGACATGTTGTGTGTGTGTGTGTGTGTGTGTGTGTGTGTGTGTGTGTCTGTGTGTGTGTGCGTATGCGTGTGAGTGTGTGTCTGTGTGTGTGCGTGTGAGTGTGTGTGTCTGTGTGTGTGCGTGTGTTGTCATTGTTTGTGTCTGTGCGTGTGCGTGTGTTGTCATTGTTTGGTACACACCGTCGTGTGTGTGTGTGTGTGTGTGTGTGTGTGTGTGTGTGTGTGTGTGTGTGTGTGTGTGTGTGTGTGTGTGTGTG